AAGGGACATTCTCACCGGCCTTCGCGGAAGGTCGAGCATGGAGAATCCCAGAAGACACGTCGAACAAAAGAAACCTGCACCAAAAAACATCGGGATGTTTAGGGGAAGGAACTCTGTTTCGACATGACCAGTGGAGGGAGGTCCAAAAGGACTCGCAATGACACTGGAAGTAGTGTACCAAAGAGGGCTGGAGAATAATGCTTGAGAGCTGGAATTTACAAAGCTAAGATTAGTTTAACACTTGTTGAAATTTAAATTTACAAGTTGAAGTTAAACCGATGTCATGTTTAACACTTGTTGAAATTTAAATTTACAAGTTAAAATTAAACCGATGATGTGTTTAACACTTGTTGAAATTTAAATTTAGAAGTTGAAGTTAAACCAAGGTCATGTTTAACACTTGCTGAAAATTTTAAGAAAAATTTACAAGCTAAAGCTAAATCGGGGTCATGATTAAAGGAATGAACGATATAGGTTCCATCACCTCAGGATGCCGAAGTAATAGAACCTAAGGGGGCAGTTATGAGGACATAATGTTTGAATGACAACACGTGGCTGAGGTGGCACCGAAGTGTCAGCCGAGGTGTCTCCCTCGCGGAGGTGGTCCCATATCCTCGAATGGCGCATGAATCCCTCTGTGATCAGGACAAGCAGATGCAAGGCAGTGTAAGAAATACAGTGCAAGGATGTGTTCGGAATGAACAGATGAAAGACCGTGAGAGCTATGCAAGAAATATAAAGTGCATTGTGAAAAATGAAGGTGCAGTGTATACCTCAGAGGAGCCATGAGATAAGTGTGACTCCGGCTCGTGCAGCAAAAGGTCCTCGGGTGCGCCTCGTGCAAACCCCCTGAACTGACGGATGCTATCGGGAGGCAGCACGTGTATCTCAGGATAATACGCCGCCGGGTCGAAAGGTTGAATGTTGAGTGGCAATGGCTTGAACTCTGGATCATCCATCTCCATCTCTGGAGGAGCTCCGTCATGTGGGAGATCCTTATGACTTGGACCTCATTGCTTGTGCACCTGATGATGGGTTTATTTGCTCGCCAAATGCTGAAACTTCTCAGCAGGATGCCACGGCATTGTGCCTTTCAAACCTTGCACCAAAACCTTGGTGTTTCAAGCCTGAACCTTTTGGTGACCTGTTGGCCACCACCATGGGTGTCGGCCATGTCTCCTGGTTGTCAGCCATAGGTGTGGCCAGTCGGTCACCAGTGGTGGCCAGTCGGTCACCAGTGGTGGCCAGTCGACTACCAATAGTGGCCGACGGCCACCAGTTGCTTTTGCAGATATTTTATGCCAACTGTTTGCACAAATGCATGCATCTGTACCCACGTGTGGGGTTAAATCTCCTTGTTTGGAATTCTTGTTTTCTATATATAAGGGGTCTCCTCCTTCATTTTTTAGGGTTAGAATTTTTGAAATAAAAATCTCTCTCTCTCTCTCTCTTTCTCTTTCTTTTATAATTTGTGCATATTAGCCTACATATATTACTTTTTTGCCTATACCTCTTTAACCAAAGTTGTTCATCTTTGAGTTGGGGTTCCTTGAGGCTTTCTTGGAGCTCTACAAGGTGGTTTTGGCTTGAATTGTTGCCTAGAATTGATCTTTGCTTCAAGAGGTAAAACACTTCCCCCTTTTACCTTGCTTTGTATACTTGCTTTTCTATCTTTTTTTCACTGTTTTTGGGCTATAAAAACTCTATTTTTGTGGGCTGAAATTGGTGGTTTTAGGCCATTTAAGGTTAGGAGGTGGTTCACCATTCTTTCTTCCTTGTTTGTAAGGCATTTCCACATTTGCTTCCCACTTTCAAACTATCTTTTTTTTGGGCTTTTACACACTGAATTTCAGAGTAATTTCAGTGGTGAAAATCATGTTTTGAAGTCCAAATTTGGAGGGGTTAGCCTCCCCTCCTTGTGCCTTGTTTGCTAGCCTAGTTAGTTCTGTGTTAGCTTATTTTTCTAGTCATTTGTAACTTATTTCCAGCATGTTTTAAACTCTATTTTAGACTATTTTGCCTTTGTTTTGGGTTAGTTAAGTCATTTGAGTCTTGTTTTGTGTGCTTCTAGTGCAAATGTCCTCACAAGCTTGGTGTTTTAGGCCTTTAGACACCACTTGTTTGAGTTGATTGCATTGTTTTAGTGTTTTTCTCACTTAATTTTAGCACTATTAATCTCTGCAACCTTCCTTATTTCTTGACTTTTTCATTTGCTTTGAGGGTTGTTTCAATCTTGGGATTGTGTAAGCTTGAGATTGAGGTCCATGCTTGATGGTTTAATCCTCTTTTGAGGGCTTCATTACCAACGGCATGACACTTCTCTCTTGCCTTAAACCACCCATTGTTTGACAGTTCCTTCTCTTTACGGGATTTGATTCACAATTAGACTTAATTGGTTAAGGAAAGGTTGGTAATCTAAAATGAGTAAATAAAAGTTGCAACTAAAATAGTGCAAGATAAAAATTTGATTGTGTTTCGATATGTTCCATGGGGTATTAATTGAGCACAAGGAAAATTGGGACATTCCGTACTCAAAGTGATGAAATGTGCCAAGTTTTCAAGGTCTCCATTGCACTTGACCATGCATGATAGGGTGAAGGCTTTTGGTCTTGTTTGTGCATTTATTGAAATTGTTCATCTTAGTTCTTAGGCCATCATGCAATGAAATTGCTTAATTGTATACTGTCGTGCTCTGTTTGCTCTTTGCTACAACAAAGAAGTCCAGTCAGCAGTGGCCGACAGGCCATCATCAGTGGCCGACCAACCATCAGTAGTGGCCGACCGGCCCCCTGTCGGCCACCAGTGCAAATTAACCAGTGTACTTCTGAGGTGGGACAGAGTTAATCCTAAGATAGAAAAAAGTACAGATGGTCTATTGTTGATTCTTGGGCTTTTATCAAAACCCTAGCTGTTACTAAACTGATTATTAAATATCCATTGGACCTCTAAAGTTAGAAATAATATACAAAAAATATATTATAACCAACACTAAACCAAACTAAATGTTTTAATAAACCAATTAGGTCCATACTCCACTAAAGAGGTATACCTAGCAATTCTCCCTCTACCGACTTAGGTGGAGACATCAATCATACCCGCCAAAGTTCAACACTTCAAATATTTGTTTCTTAACAAAGCCTTAGTCAACATATTCGAAATATTATCATCCGCGTGAACCTTTTCAAGTTGTAATAATTTCGAATCTAACACATCATGAATCCAATGGTATCTCACATCAATGTGTTTCGATCTTGAATGAAAAGTAGAATTTTTACTCAAATGAATAGAACTTTGATTATCACAATAAAGCAAATACCTTTCTTGCTTCAAACCTCATTCTTACAAAAATTTCTTCAACCATAACTCTTCTTTGCAAGCTTCCGTAATGGGAATAAATTTAGCTTCGGTAGTTAAGAGAGCAACACATTTTTATAATTTAGATTGCCACGCCACAGCTCTCCCTGTAAATGTCATCAAATACCCCGATAGATTTTCTAAAATCAACATCACCGGCCATGTTAGAATCCATGACGCCGAGATTATCTTGGCTAGGTTGAGGTTATCTGCGAAGAAACCGGAATCCGGGATAAACGGATAAGGGACAAGAATCCTAAAATGGGAGAAGACTTCAGTTTGGATAAAGATAAGATTCTTAGAGAGTTTACCACAATTCTTCTGGGAGTCCAAGATTAGCAGTAATCCTAAATCCATTGAAGCTAGGCTTCTATTGGGATTAGGTTTGTGTTGGCTATAAAAGAGAGGCACCTTCATGGGTCTAATGTATGCTTTTTATGCTCTGAATAGTAAGTTCAGTATTTTTGCTATCTTTGAGAGATAACTGACTTGATCGTCGGAGTGCCGCCGGGTGGACAAACCACCGCTGGAATCTCTTCTTTTTGTTGACAGATCGTTCAAGCTTAATCTATTCTGTCAGTGTTCTCCAGCTGTGTACTTGATTGGCAGTGTGGTCGGAAATTGACTCCCACATTATTATTATGGAAAAAATGCATCATTTAGGTCTCAACTTATAAAATTTATTATTTTTTAGAAATATTTGAATGCTTAATTTCAGGGTCTTAACCAATCTGTTTTGACTCATATTTTTTTTTTTTTTCTAGATTCCAAATCTGAGAATATGGTATTTTGAGTAATTTTCATTTTATGTAATTTTTGGCTTGATTTGGAGAATGACTTAGGGTTTGATCACGAAACAACTTTTACTATGAATTGGGAGGCTAGGAAGTTGTTTTTTGAGCAATAGAATTTAGAGAAAACTTTCTCTCTTTCATATTGTTTTTATTTTATTTGTGTTTCTCATTTATTCCACGCTTCCTTGCTAAATTCCTTAGGACAATGATTCTTGAAACTAAAGATTCCACCTTAAAAATAAAAATAAAAATTGTTTGAGAACTCTAAATAATTTCTTTTAATTTGACATATAATGACAACATCATGTTACGTGTCAATTTTTCATTTGTTACGAGTGAATGTTTGGGATTAACTTTTTAGTCACTTTTTTTGTTGGCTTTTTTTTCATCTATAGCAAACTTTAAATATATATATATATATATATAAATTAAAAAGTTTAGACTTCTAGATTGTACTTCACTAGAAAAATCAAAAAATAAAAAAATAATTTTTTTTTTGAAACCTACTAAAACAGTTAGATATTTTGGTTTTTGTTATTATTATTATTATTACTACTTTTTAGATTTTTTACACTAAATGGACCAAAAAAGTTACAATTTTTTTGACATAAATTTGAAAAACAAAATCATTAAAGATTAAAATTTTAGAAAAACATATGACTTTTTAAGTTGATTTTTTTTTATAATTCATTATTCGACATATTGAACAGACTAGTGGTTGTCGAATGGTTGTCAAATGAAATTTCGGCCATATAAGACTGAATTCTCTTACAACATCAATATAAATGAATATGAAATTTGAAATTATGAATTTCTATCCAAATGAAGGGTGCTCAATGTAGCCAGTTCATAAAAAGAACAATACAAAGCTTGATGGGTTCCCACATGCTCACACTCTCAAGCACACAAAAACCCTATCTTGCATTTCAGATTATAAGAAACCCTAGAAAAGTAGGAACAATGGTGGGCTGCCCTCTGACTTCCACTACCACATTCTAAACAAATAAATAAATCAAAATACAAAAGTTAGAGACCCAATCAAATGTGCGCCACACACTCACACCCACTCATTCCTCTTCTTAAATTTAAAATAATAATCTCTCTTTGTTACTTCTTCTTTTCCTCTTTTCTCTTTCTCTTAAACAAAAAAACTGGTACCAAACTAACCCAACAATACATAAAGAAACAGTCCCTTAATTCAATCTGCTAAATTTAGCTCAACTAACAACAAATTAAGCTCTGAACTAATCTAAAATTCAGCTAAATTTAGCTCACAACAAATATATTAGTTATTACAACAACACAATACTGGCATGAGATATTCTGTCCCCAACTTCCTCTATCTCCTGTCATAACATCGACAGTTGTTAGATCATGACTTGAGATTTCTATATATCAAGATTTTCACACAATTTAATAATTACGAGTATTTTAAAACAGAGAGACAGGAATTTGGGACAGAAAACTCTTGGCCTCAATACTATCCTCTAGTGGTACCTAACTACTTGCTAGCCTACATCATTGATTTGTGCTTTAGGAGATGGCCCAACATTGGCTGTCTTTCCTTGAAGGGTCACTTCCTTTTCTTTTTCTTTTTCTCCTTTTCTCTTTGTCTTTGCTTTTGCTCAAGGCTTCCTCAATACAGCAAATGTGGCTGCAAAGCTTTCCTCTTTTCTTTTTTCTTTTCTTTCTAAAATTGAAATCTACTATATCCAACTTGGCTGGGCTTGATATCAAATAACCGAATGATCTCTACCTGAATGTTCCTCCAAATGTTGGTGTCCAGAATTCAGTTGTTGTCTCATTGGCAACTGGATAGGTGCTTGATATCGGCACAAGACAAAGTCCTCGGCTTCTTAAGTCTTGTTTGGGCCCTTCAGAATCCTTCAATTTATCAGAAGTCTGCAAAAATCATTAAATTATTCATATTAATCTTAAGAAGAAGAAAAAAAATCAATAAATATTAATGAACACTTACATTCATAATGTAAAACCCTTATAATTTACAGTTATATACTCACTATTTATGCATGCAAATTACAAACTAAAATCACAATATGTACCTCTTGGTGTTGAATGGGAGCTCCATTTTTCATATATGGAGTTCTTAAAACCTGAAACATGTAAACATATATAAGAACTACTTCAAATTATTGTACATGTCTGATTTTTGTGTTTTAAAATAAGGCTTAGCATCAAGAATATGTCAATTATTCCAACAACAAAATGATATTAGAAATTTAGAACATACACCGACTTGTTCATGGAGGAATTTAATGTACTCAATAGCTTCTTGGAGAACTGATGCAGTATCTGTCTGAAACAATAACACGATTGAAATTAACTGAAACAATCTTTAAGTGATATCAAAAACAAAAAGTAATACTTGGGAAAGTAGAGGGAAAAAAAAATCCAAATCCTTACCTTTCCAAAAGGTGAAACCAATTGTTGGAGGGCAGTTATTCGGTCCCCTAGCTTCTCTTTACGGACCTGATAATAAATAAAGTCATATAAGTCCTCATCCAAAAAAAATGGCTTCAATAAAAAAAAAGATAAAAAAAAAAAAAAAGAATGAAATTGAAGCTTCCTATTTATCATACCTTAAAAGTTGGTAATGGTGATGGTGTTTCAATTCGTTGTTTTTTGAAAGCTGGTTCACTACTGCTTTTCTTTACAACTGAAGCCGGGTCTTGAACCACTTCACTATTAGGCTATAATTCAAAAACATGTACATAACAATTCAGTTCCAAAACCCTAGCCCTGTGATCATTTATGAAAGTTCAAATTTCAGCCCTAAATCACCATATTTACCTTTGTTGCGAGGTTGGGGCAACTTGATTTCTCATCAAATGTTGATGCTAAGAAACGAAAATCATTCAGAGCCGCGGTGGAGGCGTTCCAGAAAGGCACGTTGTTTGTTGAGTTCAAAGGACTAATGGGTTGTTGTTTTGGAAGTGAAGGGCCTAGCAAGGAAGACAATTTCGCCAAAGAAGGTGAAAATTCATTCAAATTTGTCGCGTAATTTGTGGAAGATGGATAATTCATGGACCGGTTGTTGAATATAGATTGTTGTGGTTGAGGATCAGTATCAAATAGAGTTTGCAACAATGTTGATGGGTAACCAAATGAAGCTGAACTCATTGGAAAGCTAGCAGGCAAGCCTTGGCTAGAGCTGATTTCAGAATTCAAACTTTGATTCGCTGGTTTGAATTCATTGATAGTTGAATCTTGTCCACCGGCGATTGAGAAGTTCTTCATACTCCACTCCCTTTGGATTTGAGGACAATCAATCCTTGTTTCTTGCCTGAAATTCAGCCTTGAATTCATGTCTTCTTGCAGCATAGAAGATTGATAATTGCTTTCACTTCTTCCATCACCACTATTGCCAAAAATAAACAAAAAGAAAGAAAGAAAAAGATAAGAACAAAATAAACGAATTGATTGATCAAATTGACTTCACTTTTCAAATGATTACAATGAAAACATTTCTTGAAAAACCAACTCTCTTTATTGGTAGTGGAAGTTAGCACCAAGAGCCCAATCAAGATCACACTTTTAAATATCGACCAATATTGATCATTAAGATTTTGAACTTTCCATACTCATATTTATCTATATATCAGCCGATTTTGTCTGATATATATCACCATATAACCAACCAATACGTATTGAAATTTTAAACTTTTATATTGATATATTGACCGATATTGTTCTGAAATTTATGAATCGAGATACTGATACGTATCTCAATGAAAGACTAAGAATTTCAACAATAATTGAGATTACCTAGTGTATAATTAATTCCCTACATTAATTGGGGCTATGTTACATAAAATATAGGGCACTTGATCCAACTAAAGAGAGAACAGACTCACAGTAGGGTTTGGTTCCAATCTGTGGTTGTTGATGAAGATGATGATGAAAGGCCAATACCCATCATTTGCAAGGTGGAATCCATCAAAACTTTGCCACCGGAATCCGGCGGCGGCTGCTCGCCGTGAGGTTTGAGTATGTCTTGGAACACAATCGACCCATCACAAACTGAACCACCAGACTCATCAGTAGAAGTACCACCACCAGACCTTGCTTTGTTCATGTCCACCAAGTCATCATCACTTGCCCATCCAAATCCAAAGCTTCCCACATCATTATTAATGGCCACGGAGCACTGCGACAACAACCCGTGTGAGCTTCTTGGCATGTTCCACCAGGTTGTCGTGCCGCAAACACCAGCTTGAAATTCCTCTGCCATGGCCACACACAGATTGCTTTGATTTGATTATGTGTCAATCTTTGAACTATCTTTGTCTCTCTTCTTCTTCTTCTTGTTCTTTCTCTGGTTTGTTGTGTTGATATGAAAGTGAACTACATACTTTGGTGATGTGGGTATATATATAGAGATTGGGCGGTTGGAGGTGTGTACGGGCGGTGAAACTACCGGAATCTGGTTGACATTTCAAGAGAGATGATATATGATTAGACGAACCATCTGGCATGTTTGATTTTATCAACACCCAAAAGCTAAAATGTAAATAAATAAAATGAGCTTAATATTTTAAATTCAAATAATTATTGAAAAGATTTAAATAATTTAATAACCCTTCATGACAAAAAAATAAAAATAAATAAAAAATAGTTCATATCTATTAGGTTAAGTGAGTGGGTTTGAAATTTAGACATTCTTTTAAGATCGGACTTAGGATGGCTAGATTAGCCCCGATGTCGGATTAGGCTGAGCTTGGGATGACACATATAATCTTATTATATAGTGTCGGTTCGACCTGAATCATATCCAGTATGTAGTTTGTTCACCCCTAATTGTTCGAATACGTGAGACTCATCATCTTATTGATTTGTATAAATTAATCACAAAAAAAAAAAAAAAATTGACCTAATAATTATAATCATCTAATTGTATTTTTAAAAAAATGAACATTTGCCTGGTTTTTTTTTGGAAATTCATATGATTAAATTATTTGTCTATGATTATTATCAATCTCATTTTTTTATATATAACTAATATATATGTATATATCTTCCATACTAATATATAAAGCAAACGCTAGACATGAGGTGGATGTCACAACTTTTGTTGTTTGAAAATCTCTTCATGTTATTGCAATTGCAACTGCTAAATTGAATTACATCTACAAATTTGTAACTGTCAAAATTTAAACATATCTATACGAATATACACACCTTTTTAGAAGCCTACAAATGAATGGATTGGATTATCAAATGAGATCTATGATAATCTTGATGTACTCAAATAATACGGTCTAGTCAAGATTTGAAACGAAAAAAATTCTGCTTCAGATAAATAAACAAAGAAATAAAAAAAATAACTACACGATAAGGCATTTTGAATCGAATTTACTTTTCTTTTTAATATATTCCTCACTCCTACTTTAGTAATTAAATTTTATTTTGTAATATGACACATTTAAAAGTTAAAAATAAAAAATAAAAAATTGTTGTTTCTTGTGAACGAAGGGATGAGGTATTATGAAGGTGTTTGAAACACCACGTCATGGGATTAAACCAATAATAATAATGATAATATACGACTTTTGTTTTGTTAAATCCAACGGCTGAAATTCTTTATTCTGAGAAGCAAGAATTTCAGGACCAAAGGACACTTCACTCTCAAGGTTCAATTAAATATGTATTCCATTATTGTATTATTAAGTACAAATGCTTTACTTTTATTTATAAAAAAAAAAAATCATAATTCATAATTCATTAGACACTTGGATTCTAACATTGGTTGACAACTTTTTTTGTATGCCTAATTTTTTTTGTAAATTGCATTAATTATTTGATTACATGCTCCATTTGTAATTTTCGGATTTATCAAGTTTCATGTTGATTGGAATTTAAGAACGACCTCATCCATATAACTTTTTTGAGATTAAAGTTGTATCCTATATATAAAATAATACAAGCGTATGGAATGATAACTCTAACTCTAATCAATTTAAAATTAGCAATAATGGGAAAACCAAAGGTAGGTTTTGTGAAATATTATGGTGGTGAGCTGCTATGGTAGGTGGGTGCTCATCAGATGTTTTAGGAAAGTGATGAGAAATCATAGGAGGGTGGCCAGATGATCACCTCGGAAGTTAGTTAGTGGTGGGTGGTGGTCAGTGGTCGGCGTGTAAGTAGATGGTAGAGATGGTTGGAGGTGGATAATGATAGTAGGCGACAGGAGAGTTATGCAGAGTAAAAACTAATTTGAAAATAAAAAATATTTGAAAATTTTAAAAATTGTTGCCATTTTAATTTTTTTTTTTATTTTTGAAAACGAAAGGAATCGCCAAACAAGCTTATATTTCTATTTTCAAAGTTTTTTAAAACTAAAAATTGAAAACAAAAAATGAAAAATTTACCAAATGAGACCCTAGATCTACCAAAAAAAAAAACAAAAAATTCCTAGAACAAATAATCTCATTTCTTACCCTTTTTTTTCTTACACTTGTAGACACAAAACAATGAGATTTACATTCATAAATGCATATGTGATCGACTTACTTGTGCCTCGGAGTAAGAAAATAAAGTACAAAAATAAGATTATATGTAGTATTTTCTTTTTAAAAAAACAAATTTACTTAAATGTAAAGAGTCTTATTGAAATATACACTGGCTAAAATAATTAAATTAAGCAAAATAAAGAGTAACTTTTTTCTATATAGTTTTCCAGGCAAAATATCTCAGAGTATTGAAGTTGCTCTTAAAATTGACCCAGTACAACTGTGAATTGGGGACACCAGCAAGGCAACTTCCATAAAGGGACAGTGTCACACTCCCATTTGAGTTGATAAATTGTTTTACAGCCATATCATTGATTAATGTGTTATTAGTCTATATATGTACTAATCTTAATCCATGTTTTTTTGAGTTTTTTGAGGATGAAGACCATAAGTCAATTTAGTTGACGAGTTAGGTATCTCATAATTCAATATTAATGTTATGTGTGCAGAAATATAAACCTAACACATTTATGTGTTTTTTTATGCGCATAGCATTATACTAATTTAATTGTAGAATTGACGAAATGATTCTATATCATTAGTTCCACATAAAAAAATTGTGAAATTTCTCTATCCTATTTCTCAATGACAAAATGTATTGAGAGGATTGACAAATTTGTGGTTAATTAATCATGAATACTCAAATTTTCTTTTGGAAAGGATCACAGAATCACTCATGTTACACTCCAAATGTGTTGAAGTCTTCTAAATTTGGATTAAAGTAGATGAAAAGTCAATAGCCTAGTCTTAAATTGAAAAAAATTGCATTTTTTTCATGGCAAGGACAAGAGAATCTCATTGAAGATTTCGAAGGCGAGTTAGGTCAGTTCCATGGATTAAAATTTCCTTTAAAATGCAAAGTCTACCCAAGTTTACTTTGGTTTCTCACAATCATTGTGGGAAAAATAATTCATCATAAAAAATGAGCATAGTCTCTGTTTTATCATTTATCTTATATTTATCACATATTATCAGATTATTAAAATTAATGATTAAAATAGTATGGAACAGATGATGGTAGATAAAATGGGATAGATGATCTCACGCCATATAAATTGGGTAATTTATATTGATTACTGCAAAGATTTAGAAAAATACAGTAAGTCCTAAAAATTTATCATGATTATACCACTACAACATGTAAGAGTTTTAGAAATCAAATATTTTGATCTCTAAAAGTAAAAATTTTGTTGCAAAAGATATTTAGGGACCAATTTCCATCGTCATGAGGATAGTCGCTAAAAGGTCGTCCCAAAAAGTAAAAAACAAGGCTTTTAGTGATAAAATTTTGAAAATGTTACTACTAAATAGACTTTTAGGGACAATAATTTAGTCTCAAAATGGTTTATTTTTTAAGACAAAAAACTTGGTTCCAAAAGGATAATAATTCATCACTTATGTCCTATTTTTGTTGCTAAAAATATAATAATAACACTTTTTGCAACAAAATTATTTCGTCCCTAAAAAATAATTTTGTTCCTAAATTTTGATCTCTAAAACCTTAATTTTTTGTAGTGTACTGACCTTTCTTTCAATAAAACTAAAACAAACATAATTATTTATGGTGCTGTTTAAACACTAAAATAATCAAAAGTAATATATATATATATATATATTTCAATATTTTATTTTTTCATTCATATGACTGATGAATGACTGATAAAAATAGAATTAAGTGTTATGTAAATTAAAATCTTTTAAAAGCACATTGTAATTATGCTAAATTTGCAAGGCTCCATGGTGAATAAGGTTTGTGATTAGTCAATCCAAGATGCACATCTATATATACATGTTTACATAAAAATAAAAATAAAAAGCCTTTACCATTTTTATTTCTTTGTTTACAAGGTTGGCATTAGTGTGATGAAAAACAACTATACTATTTTATGTGGGTTTTAAATGGTAAATTTTCTTGATTAAAATTGAAAATGTCGTTGTGCGAATTAAAATCAGTAGGGGGATAGCTCACATTCATATTATTATCTTTCATATCTTTTCATATTCTATTTTATAAAACCCCATTTCAATCCCACAACTTTAAAATAGATTAAAGCTTTATTCTTAACAAGCACAACACAGATGGAGCTTCAATAACTTGTTTTATGCTTCAATTTTAACTTGCAAATCATTCTTCTAATTAAAAAGTTAACCAAATAATAATTATATTGCAATAAAGTTTCATTATTCAAAAAAAAAAAAGGAAAAATAACCAATAAATCCTATTTTACACTTAATATTACTATCAACCTTCAATATGAACAATTAAATTCTATTTTTCATAACATATTTTCAATAAGTTCAGTACTACGTTATCTTAATTTTGCCCCCTTATTTAACATGAACAACAATTTCATAAATACTTTTAATAAAATAATATTTTGTTCTGAAAATTAATTAAAAAAATCATAAATCACAATGAAAAAATTATCAATAAGTTCTATTTTGTTTTGAAATTTATTATTAAGTTATATCAAATTTCAATATTGACAAATAAATCTTCTTTTTTATTTATAAATTTTTATAAAAAAAACTCAATTGTTCATAATAGTATATTTTATTTTCATTTTATCTTTTTTATTAAAATATGAACAAAAATTTTGAGAAATAATTTTAATTTATTAGAAATTTTATAATTAAATTATTTTTAATTGTTCAAATTAAATGATTTTTCATAATCAAAATTATAAGTATAAGATTAATAATTTTTACAATTAAAATTTTAAATTTTAATTAAGTTAAAATTATTTATAAAATTATTGTTCATATTAAATAGGAAATGAAAAATTAGGATAAGACACATTATTATAGAATAACAAATATTTTGAAAACTTTTTATCACAAATAAAATTTAATTATTAATATTAAAATTTAATAGAATTTATTAATAATTTTAAAAGTAAAATAGGACATGAATTATTTTTTCAACTTTTTATTGTTATAAGCCGCGAACTACTTGTGACTAGT